GGCTGCCTGATTTGGGGCCCATCACCGGGAGGCGGTGAGTTCTAGTCTAGATGGTGAGTGACTGCATCCCATTGCGATTCCTTTCCTGGGAAAAGCGCAATGGGGCCGCCGCCTGTTCAGAGGATGTCGCGAAGTATTCATAGCTCTATTCTTTATGATGCAAAGAAATGGGATAAACTGCAGGAGAGCAGCGAAGGAACACATTCGAGGCGGGGGGGGGAAAGAGGAGGCCCTGGAAGACAACAAATCTTTGCACAGCTGTTAAACCCCCCTCTCATGCTCACACAATGGCCACACGTCACGAAAGGCCTTGCTTCACGCAACCTCGGCTTCGGTTTCCTGGCATTATCCCTTTTTCTGCACACTGCCAAATATTCTCAGATCCCAGCAAATTGGCCTCCTCCTCCTCCTCCTCCTGCTTCTCGATCGGTTTGGAGAACCTAGCACAGCGGTTGGCATGTTGGCAGCGCCAATAATCCTGTTTAAAAATATCCATACGCCTCCTTCAAATCCCAGTTGGCAGTTTTGTGTAGCTGTTAGTTATTCCACGCGCCTCGGCTGTATCTGAACAGGCTTTTAAGTGAGGTCAGCATCCCAAGTGGTGGGGATTTATCAGATATTTCTCTCTCTCTCTCCTTTCCAGATTGTCTTTCTGCTTGGTTCGTTCCATCTGTCACTGGGTGACTGTTCCCTCACTGTGGGGCAAGCTATAAACCGAGCAGCTGCGTGTTCTTTCCTGGCAGCTAATATATTACGAGCTAGTTAAAGACCGTGTGACATTATTTAGAGGAGGCCTTCCGCCTGGACGCTATCTGTAGCAGGGGGGGGGGGGGGGGAGATTAGGAAAAGCAGATTCAGGAGGGCACTTCCCCAAATTGGCACCCTCCAGATGGGTGTGAATTGCAGGCCACTTGGACTGAGGATGGACACTGCCCAATTGGGAAGAGACTGGGGTGGGGAAGAGGGTCGGTCCTTGACTTACGACCACAAGGGAGCCTAAAAATTTCTGCTGCTACACGAGACACGTGTTAAGTGGGCTTAGCTTCATTTTATGACATTTCTTGCCCTATTTTTCATGAGTCCCTGCAGTTGTTAAGTTAGCGACTGTCGTAAATATGTGAGTCAGTTGCCAAGCATCCAAATGTTTTTTTTTAAATTTTTAAAAAACATTTTATTGAACAAAACAATTAAAAACATTGAACGTAGTGAAGTCAGTTTGACATAACATTTGCTCAGTATCATATAGATATATATATTCCTATATACAATTATTCAAATATAGACATATATACATTTCTTCGCTCATATTACATTTTCCAACATCATTGGTCCTATTTTCATCTCATACATTCATTTGAATTGAATTGAATTCTTTATTGTCATTGTATGTATAAACACAGTATACATACAACGAAATTCACATAACACCCAGAGACCAGACTCAACATGCGCACACACATGACAATCCCTAAACACCCACCCACCCACCAAAATTCCCCGCCCCCTAAAAACACACAAGCATCCACACAACAGAGCAGCTCACTGACGGTGGTCCTTAAGTTCATTGTTAAGTGCCACGATAGCTCTGGGATAAAAACTGTTCAGGAAACTCCCGTGGTCCAAGTTTTAATTGTTCTGTATCTCCTGCCAGAAGGCAACAGCTTCACAAAGATTGTGAGCAGGATGGGAAGAGTCTCTGAGAATGTTGTGCGACTTCCTCAAACAGCGAGAGGCGAAGGTGTCGTGCAGGGCTGGTAGCTGGAGCCCGATTGATATTCTGGGCAGTTTGAATGATTCTCTGTAGAGCCTTTTTTTGTCCGCTCCACAGCTGCTCCCATCCCATGCAAGGATGCCGTATGTCAGGACACTCTCAGTGGTGCTATGGTAGCAGGACAGAAGGAGATGCTTAGATAGATTTATCTCCCTGAGCCTTCTCAAGAAGGGCAGCCTCTTCTTCTGTGCCTTCTTCACAAGCACGTTTGCATTCATAGTCCTCCGAGATAGAAGCGCCCAGGAATTTAAAACCACCCACCCTCTCCACCTCCTCACCATTTATGTACAGTGATAAATGTACACCTCTCTTCCTCCAGAAGTCAATTATAAGTTCTTTAAGTCAATTATAAGTTCTATAAGTTCTTTTTTTGGTGTTCAGTGTAAGATTATTTTCTTTACCCCACGGTGGCAGCCCTTGTGCTTCCTTTCTATAAGCAGCCTCATTGTCCTTATTAATGAGCCCCACCCCTGTCACCAATGCCTTTCCCACCTCAAGACCTTCCTTTCTGCTCCCACCGGTGATAAAATCGATTCCAAATTTCATATTATATGCCGACTTGTCTTTATCTTTCATCTCTAAAGTTAGCTTGTCCATTTCAGCGCGTATCAGGATTTTGTTTATTTACTTCGTCTTTGCTCGGTATGTCTGCCTCTTTCCAGTTCTGGGCAAAGGCTGTCCTTGCCGCACTAATAATAGGTATAATCCAATATAGCTCATCCTTATTG